TACACGATCACATTTCATTTGATATTACATCCTAGCACTATGAATAACATTTATAAATTGTCCTGATGTAAATAAAATGAAAAAAAGTATTATTTATCAACAGAAATGTAAAATTCACCGTGCGGCTGCCGTGGGAAATGTGACTGCAAAAGTATGAAAGCGCAGAAATTCTACGGCGAGCGTAGAAAAGCTACTGGCCGAAGAAATGATAGAACGCACGGCGGCCGTAGGAAATGTGACTGGGGTGTTACTACTTGTACGTAGGACTTACCTTAACACCCTTTACAATTCCATGGCGCTAGATTTATTTACATTACTACGGAATACACTGTTGCTCATAAATATGGATATTTTATAGATCTTAAATGTTTGGTATAATTCTTACAAAAAATAACATTTTGTTGCAAATGTTTAATGTCACATTTTTAGCGTAGAAAAGCGTAGAAAAGCTACTGGCCGAAGAAATGATAGAACGCACGGCGGCCGTAGGAAATGTGACTGGGGTGTTACTACTTGTACGTAGGACTTACCTTAACACCCTTTACAATTCCGTGGCGCTAGATTTATTTACATTACTACGGAATACACTGTTGCTCATAAATATGGATATTTTATAGATCTTAAATGTTTGGTATAATTCTTACAAAAAATAACATTTTGTTGCAAATGTTTAATGTCACATTTTTTTTTCATTTCATTATATATTTATTCAATTCAAAGGTATACAGTAATTACAGTAGTTGCTTTATCAACAGAAATGTAAAATTCACCGTGCGGCTGCCGTGGGAAATGTGACTGCAAAAGTATGAAAGCGCAGAAATTCTACGGCGAGCGTAGAAAAGCTACTGGCCGAAGAAATGATAGAACGCACGGCGGCCGTAGGAAATGTGACTGGGGTGTTACTACTTGTACGTAGGACTTACCTTAACACCCTTTACAATTCCGTGGCGCTAGATTTATTTACATTACTACGGAATACACTGTTGCTCATAAATATGGATATTTTATAGATCTTAAATGTTTGGTATAATTCTTACAAAAAATAACATTTTGTTGCAAATGTTTAATGTCACATTTTTTTTTCATTTCATTATATATTTATTCAATTCAAAGGTATACAGTAATTACAGTAGTTGCTGCCTAGCGCACTTTGCATTATAGGCTAGCATTTCAAGTTATACATAAAACAACATTAAGGAAGGCGAGTGAGTAAGTGCCAGTAAGCTTAAATGCCAACAGTAAATCAGGAAGAAATGAATTAAGTTATAGTAGAAACGAATTCAACAAACTTTTCTTTTAAATCAGAATCCTTTCCAAGTGAAAGGGAATTTTGAAAAATTAGAGATTCAATTTTTTCTTGTCCATTGAGTGGGGTCCATAGGTTGTACTGTTCGAGGGATTCTTCAAGGCGTTTTCTTTGAGTAGAATGGCGCTTGCAATGCAGAATTAAATGTTTTTGGGTTGCACTCTTACCACAGACACATAGGTTAGATGTGTTAAGAAAATTATGGGCAAACTTTTGTGATTCAAAATAAAGTCCACATCTAATTCTGTTTAGGATGATTTCTTGTTTTCGAGATAGATTTAGTTTTGATGTTATATTGAAGTCAGTGAATTTTTAATGTCACATGTTTCCCCCAATCTTTTTTGAAACCTTATTGGTTGAGACATTTATGGCTGATTAAATACATTAAATTTGCATTCACTCAGGTGAGTCTTTGAGCTCTTGATGACCTAATTCAAATGAGACAAATTCAATGTAGACATTTCACAAAAGTTGCTATTGTGCTTGGAGAGCTTTTAGAAGACCTGCCCAAAGTGAAGAAAGAGCATGGCAGGTCGTAGGAATGGCTCGCTCTGACACATGAAGCAAACTGCTATTGCCAGGGCCCTAAGGATGTGTCAGGGAACAGTCTCTAAAATTCTTCAGCGGTAGGCCAAGAAAGATTAATGCGAGAGAAGACTGCCACTTGCCTGTGTATGTGTCGTCAAAATTGCTTCAAATCTGCCAGTCGTATTCGCCAAGAATGGCTGCCTCACCTCAGAAAACGTGCGCCTTCGAGAGCCACAGTCAATCGGCGACTTCTTCAAAATGAATACAAAGCCATGAGACCTCTAAAAATACCAAAGCTGACTGATTAAAGATAGGCGCCTTCAATGGGCAAGAAGGCATCAAAACTTTATATATACTTTTATATATGTTCTTTGTTTAAGTATTCTAGCTCAGGACTCAGTTGGATTTTGGACTGGTGTCAAAGGTGTTGTTTCAAGTTTAGGAACCAACTCCTGAGTAGAATGAATCATCCACAATGCAATATTAGTCTTTAATTCTTTTTACGCATTGCAAAATATTTTATACAATCTAGAATCTAAAAATGGCCTTGGCTGCATAAGAGAAGTATATTGCAATACAGTTATACGATCATGAAATAGCGTGTTCTGGTTGGCTGGGATTGGACGCACCTTGCCTACAGTAGCTATGTGTGAATGTGTTTATATTGCATATTATATGACATCCACACATGTATCTGCATACATTTGCAATCAACGAAAATCATTATCACTTCCAAGGGCTCAAATTATCCTAAAAAGAGTGTATGAGATCATTTAATTGTACATGCAATATAGAACAATTTGATTCTCACCCTCATTCCCACACGGCCTAGCATCAATTTCATTTTTCAATAATTATGTCCATAAGGGACTGAACAGATGTAAAGGATTCATGGTACACCAGTTCTGTTAGTTCTTCCAATACCCGGTGTTCAAAGATGTTGAGTGATCGAGTGATCTGGGGGGCATCTGGATGTGATTGAGGGGGATGAATCTAGGAACATTTTCCTTAAAACATTTGACACTCTTGTTGGATCTATGGATTGGACCCCCATCTTGTTGGAAAATGTAATGAATCGAAAATCAATTTATATCAGGCCAGGATGGTCCAAAAACAACATAATTAAATCATCCGATGCCAACGTCTGCGACTACCATGTACTGCCAGAACTAATTAACAGGATTGGTTTACCATGATCCCATAACATCTACTCAGTTCCTTATTAACGATGATTAATAAGAAGTTGAACTCAATGTCTATACAGCACATCAATGATGCTATTAACCAATTTAGGCCAAAACTGAGGGCAATAATTGATCAAAATGGTGGACATGTTGGACGTCTGTTTCTATAAATAAAGTTGACAAAAAACTTGTTTTTTGCCAGTTTTGAAAATCTGTTTTGAAACGAAAAGTACGTCATTTATATTATGGACGATAGTTGACAGACATTATAATAAATTTGAACTAATGATATACCAAATCAAAGATGAGTAAATTCCCTATCCACTGGTACATAATATGAATTTTTTTCAACAAAAAAAACCAATATTTATATTTGAAATACGAGTGTCCCATTTTTTGGACCACCCTGTATATACATCATGATGAACCATGACACCTAATTTCTTCTCAGCCCTGAGATGCCATGATATAATGAGCTTGATTTGGCGATCTTAGCTCATATTTCATCTAATTGGGGTCATTAAACTTGTGTACATGTGCATGTGCTAATATCTGCTGTTAAATACAATGCATATTATGTAATGTATTGACATTAAGGTAAATGATTAAATGATAACTTTCACACTTATTGACAGTTATGACCCTGCCCATCTGATGTGCTCGGATCACAGAATATGCCTCATAATATCAGAGCATGTTTCAAGTGAAACAGAAAGATGCTTCGAGTATCAGAATGCTGTATATACTGTATAGCATGTGCAATTCTAGGGTTTTATGTAGACCTATTAACTGACTGCACTCATATAAGGAGTTGGTTGAATGAGAGTTGTTTAAGAGACACATAACTTATTTATCATTTTGTCAATACAAAAGGCCATTGTCATATCATTTACTCAGATAAATACACCTTAATTAAGTGATTCACTGTAACTCACTCATTACGTCAAACATCTTGACCCTTGAGAAATACGTTTTCTCTCTGAGAAAGTGATTAAAAGAGAACTGCATTTTTGTTACTAAAATGGAAATCAGAAATAAAACAAAAACCACAGAATTCAATAAACGTTGCTTGAATGAGAGTTATTTGAGAGATTCAAACCTTATTTACACTTTTGTCAATACAAAAGGCCATTGCCGTACCAGCTACCAGGTAATTATACTTTAATAAAGTGAACCACTGTAGCCCACTCATTACACCAAACCTACTGGGTCGGGAGAGCTTGTTGAGATTAATTGGAAGCAATGGACTGGCACTGAGGTTAAATCCTAGTATGTAGAAACTTCCCAAGAATATTCACAATCATGCTAAGCCATGCCTTGTATATCTCTGTCTTATCAAGACATCTGCATCAGGAGTTAATTACGAGAAAGATACGATAAATATCATGATGAGAATTAATACATCTTTACAACATTTTTTTATTATTTATATTTTTATGTACAGTACGATACATACAGAGTTTGAGCGTCTTGAAGACACTTTCACACATAGCTAGGCAAGACACTCGGGCGTTGTTTCCTAAACTTGCATTCCCGCTGCGCGGTCATGCAAATGTTTGGAAACAACACCTTCATGGTATGATTCAGCAAACAATGCATTGAGTTTCATTGTCAATCCAATAAAAATTATATGACTTCACCTTAACCATGGCCTTTCGCTTGAAAGCCATGTCCAAACCTAACATTTAGCTATTGGAATGTGAAGAAAAAAAGCTTCACGCATGCTTTTTTATTTTTTGATCGAAATTAAACGTTTCAAAGAGCACCTTTTTTTACTACTCGAGTCATTCCCTTCATGAATTTGGAGAGAGTCCATGTTCCTCGCAAATATATTCTTCAAAGCCCGTCTAAAGCCTTTCATTCTTAAAACATAGACGATGGGATTTACACAGGCTTGGAGCAAGATGAGAATGAAGCAACAATAATGTAAAGTCATATACACCCACATGTCATCAGAATCCTTCTTGAAAGGTATTATCGCTGTCAATGTTAAACTAGGTACCCATGTCAGAAAATATGGTCCGAGTAGCATTATTCCCGTCTTTACAATTTTCAAATGGCAATCCTTCTTGGAGCAATTCTGGTGTACGCGGCATGTTTTCTTTGTCTGGGATTTCTGTCGTGTTAGTGAACCATCATCCTTGCCTCCTGATCTATTCTGATTGGCGTCAAATCTTGAATTTTCTTTCACTATTTGTTTCTGTTGGCGAGTCGCTGTAACGAATATTCGACTATAGCAAAACGTGGTCAATACCACCAAGATCAAAATCCATGCAACGACTAAGAATGCGTATGGCAATGGATAGATTATAACTTTCGAACAACGGAAAGAATCGCTCATGTCGTCTGTGAAAGTATTCCATCCCATGGCTGGAGAAAATGATAGGCCTCCAGCAAGGATGAGCATTACCCCGACAGTAATCAAACACCTCTTTGTTGTGATCTCTGTCTGCAAATAAGGGTGCAAGACCCGAATGTACTTCTCTAAGGCAATGCAACCAAGACTCAGACCAGAGATGATTGCAGTGAACGACAAGATCTCGCATCCAATTAAACACAACGTGTGGTTCTTATTTATGTCAGACTCAATGAAATGTGACATTGATTTCAATGGAAATGTCACAAAAGCAGTCCCGAGATCAGCCACTGCAAGCATTACTGTGAAGGCAATGTTGATCCCTCCATTATGGCAAACTCTTGGATTTTTCCAGATAGCAACGAGCACCAACGTGTTTCCAATGCACACGAATGGAACAATTCCCAAGCAGATCCAAAAGAACGGATTTACAGAATACATGTTATTAAATTAGATATTCTTAGACCAGGTGTTCCTATATAAAGTGTTCTTTTGTCGTATTAGGTGTTCATTTGATCAATTATTCCTTAGATCCGGCGTTCCTTTGTTACTGCTGGTGTCATTTTTATCAACTTCCTTTAGATTTAGATTTTTAGATAAGATTTAATTGGATTATTTGAAGTTCCAATTCATCAAGTTTTCGTTAATCGAGTGTTCCGTTGATCCTATAATTTGTTAGATCAAATGTTCTTTAAATAAATTGTTCTAGGTGTACCTCATATGAAATGTTTATTTCATCAAATGTTCTTCAGATCAAGTATCCATCCACTACGAATAAAAAATTATTTCTCCTTTCTCTTCTCCGCAAAGTCTGATAATGCAATGACGGGGAATCTTTTATGGTAATGGTATATATAAAAATTCAATGTCGTCAATGTCGAGAAAAAATGAAAGATCTTATTTGTCACATTGCAGAGTGCGTGCAATGTGATGGGTGACAATCGTATGTAATAAAGAATAAATTGACGTAATGTTCAGAAAATAATTTTCTACTTAGTGAATATTATTATTGACAGATCTGATTTGACAGCAATTTTGATCGCATTAGAGTCCTTCATTATTGCACACTGAGTTTGATAATTTTAGAAAATACGCCTCTCTGTTGAAATTCTGTATAATCTGAGAAATTATGACAATTCAGAGAACCAGATCGGAACAAGGTATTGTAAGAAAGGGCATTTGATTGTTCTAAATTATATCTGTTCTAGTCATTAAAATTGGTTGGGCATATGGTCCTGTCTGCTGCCTCGAAAAGATGGCATGCGCAGTGGTGGTTTGTCAATCTTTTTCCTGATCAAGAGGAGGGCGTGATCCAGAATTAGAACTAGAACTAGACAAAGATTGTCTGTAGATGTTCATTTTCCTTATATAGAATTTTTTGGACTTTCCTCCTCCTATCTGAGAATATATTGAACAAATAAACTACTACTGTCATCTATCTGACGAATAGTTCATATAATACAAGTATATCATATTTTACATACCATTATCCAATTAAATAAACTGGAACTGTTGGACATATTCAGGATATTAGAAAATGGCGTAGTGTGAAATGTTTTGAGAAATTAATTTAGATTGTGACTCTCGACTCTTAATTCGTCCAAGACATTGTTGAACCTTTCAAGAGCAATGTCATATTTGTTCATCCAACTTCTCTATCCGAATGTATAGTTAGTAGTGTCTTAGATAAAAAAGAATAAGGTAAATTGATCTGGTATTCCATATTGCACGTTTCTTATAACAATACATTTCATGTGTCTACTGTTCCTTGAAAAGTACATTTTATCCAAATCAAGCAATGGCATTATGTGCGTCTGGCCTTACTTAGGTAAGGTATTTCTTATCATGGACCTGTCCAGAGATATATAACGCATTTCTTAGACCAGGTTTTATATAAATCAGGTTTTCCTTAGTTCAGCTATTTCCTAAATAAGGTATTCCTTAGATCAGATTTTATTCAGATTGAGCATTTCTTAATTCAGCTAGATATTTCTTAAATAAGTATTCCTAATTCTCAAGCATTTCTTAGATAAGATACATTTTAGATCACGCTTTTATCATAACATTCCTTGCCGATCAGGTAGGTATTCCTTTAGATATTTCTCATATCCTACATTCCAAGCTATTCCTAAAATCAAGCATTAATTAACCACTGCACATGTTCTAAAGCTCCTGTGTTCACAGATTTCAATTTCACGGCTTACTCGATCACACATTTCATGGAAAACAATGCATAGAAATCCATGTCGTTTTTTCAAAAGAATTGCTCATATATTTCTAATTCTTCCTTTGCTCCATCCTTTGGCATGATCCCAGGTTTTTCTAATATCATAACTGTTATGCAATTACGTATAGTATTTACTTGGGTTTCCAGTTCATTATACCTGTCTACAAGGTTGAGTTATTTAATCTAACGTGGAATACATATTATGTACCAATTAATCAATGATTTACATTTGAAATAACGTGCATTAAAGATAAACCTAAGTATTATTTGTCAACTGATACCCTATTTAACTACTGTATTAATCAAGTTAGGCTTATATCGCCTGCATAGAACATGTTTAGTTTATCTTATTAAAGAACACGCCATCGAGAGGCAAGTCATTTAATTTCTGCGTATGAGAGCCTTGGTAAGGGTTTCTGAAGCTAAGGGTGTGGTAGACTATACATTGCTTGCACTATTTAGTATTTTCAATACTATCAACGCCAAAGGTATTTTCCTTACCAACAGCAACTACATTTTTTCTACAGGCTTGGAATATTTTTCCAGAAAATTGGGCCCTCACCTCAAATTAAAATATGTTGACTCTCCCTGAAAGTTTGAGATGGATGGTGTTGAGATATACCCTGAGCGCAGAGTAAGAAAGCTGTCTTTTAAGAAGCCAAATAGATTAAAAGCTAGGCGTAGTCGTCAGAGATATCTAATGAAAATGACATGTAGAATTTTGATACAGTTCAAACACTTTAAGCGTCAGTACCTTATGGACTTTTCAGTCACGTTTCGTTCCTGTGTTGCAATAGAATCTTTCTGAACAAAACAAAGCACACACTTCCAGCTTCAGATTTGTTTGTTCGACTAATGGGAACTATTGTCCCATGTACACATGTCCAATTTGTAAACATTCTTATAACCAAACAATCAAATTACTTGTATATAAAATTCAAATTTCCGGTTTATCTTAATAAATGCACATGTATTTGAAAGAGGGTGTATGAAAAAATTCCTCTTTTTAAAGGCAGATGGGTGTATTTTCGAGGGCCTCGATAAGCGACCTGTGGGCGAAACATTCGAGAAAGGAATTTTTATGCATTGAAATTGCTAAAGTACAATGTACATTTCTCCTGTGCCCTGTAGAGTTTTAGGGAGATAAGTTGGTAAGATGTGTATCCTGATTTTGAGGTTTCAATATCTAGAACCTCCATATCCCTCGCCATATCTCCCGAACCCGGGCATATCCTGGCATATTTCTGGTAATTAAAAAAATTGACAAAAAATCGGAAAAAGAAATTTGAAATTCTTTTTGCAAAACGTATCAGATGTTATTGTATACAGTTTAGTCTGCCATTATATTTTTATTTAACATTTCTCATTGTTAAATCATTTATTTTTCATAGGCATACAATATACTATACAAATATTGAATACCTGCATTCCACGGAGCTCGAAGGGCAAGCGGAATACATCCCCCAGAAATATTATAAGTTATCGAATGATTTGAAGTGCAATACGGGATATATTCTGCTCGAAAAATTCTGTATTGGAACGAGACAAAGTCGAGTGCCAATACAGAATATCGAGACAGAATATATGTATTGCACTTCAAATCATTCAATAACGTTTTTATCATGTGATCCTCTGTATTGGTACTGAGTTTGTCCCCTCCGTACAAATATTTTCTGTATTGCGACGGAGATGATCAACGAGGACAATCTCAGTAGCAATACAGATTGGTACAGCATAAGAACTGACCAATCAGAGGGCTTCATTTTACAGATCATACGATAAATACAGGTATTGCACGTATACCAAAATGTGAGAAGAAAAGAAGAAATACATATTAACAGTGAGTTAACAATATTATCTTATTATTACCACCTTGCCGGGCTAGTTCTAGGGATTTTAGTGCTAGTTTAGAAGGCATTCATTTTACTATATCGACCTTAGCAATACGTGACGTCATAGTGGTGGTCCATATGGGATAAATAGAACATCCTATGATTTTTTCGTGATATCATTTTAATACACTCGTTGATATCAATATCTGTACTCATTCGCTACGCTCACTCGTCCAGATATTGATATCAACTCGTGGATAAAAATGATATCTCTCAAAATCATAGGATATCCTATACGTATTCCATTATACTATATCGAGTTTTTACATGCATTTCGTTGAAAAATATGCATTAAATATAACTTAAACATATTGATAATAGAACATAGCAAATGCACCTTTGTTCTCATAATTTTCATTTAATAATCAATTGTTTACATTGATGCCATCATTTATTCCCAGTCTTGAATTTTGAAGAAATTACAAGACTTAAGCAAACATGCCTATAATTAGACAATATTGTACAAAATATTACTAAATTCACGGAAATTGTTGGAACACATTGGATGATCTTACAAAAGCTTTCAGTGACAGTTATAGGTTTTAACCCTACCATATGACAAATGGGACTAAATTTGAGCAGAAAACACATTTCAAACGTTCATTGACCATTTTGAAGCAGTTAGTTAGTTCAAAACCAAACAAAGTGAGAAAAAATTAAGTTTTTCAGTCTGCGTCTAAAAAATGTTCACGGGAAGATCCATTTTCAGTAATGTTCGGTTAGGGCTCATAATTTCTGCAAAGGAGCACGTAGGTTATCGCAAACAATTTCAAACGATTTTAACTTGTATTATGAATATTTTCTGATCATGAACATGGGTGTATCTTTTAGATCCATTCATTATTTTCAAGAAAAGTATATATAATGATAATTTAGTTAATCAGACCTAAGTGATATTGAAGGGGCAATGGACCAATCAACATACTTTTTTAAAAATGTTGACCTAATTTTCATCAAAAATGCAACCTTTTATTATATTGTTGAATGCATAATTAGAATGTGCTTTGAGACATGTTCGATTTCCTAAAAAGAAAAGTTGATTGCTCAAGGGACTTTAAAGATACTGAATTTGGATGACCGAAATGAACTGAAACCAATGGATAGCATGACATTTTTCAA